GGACGTCATCATGGGGGGATACCTTTGGGACATTAGAAACAGCCTGGGACGAACCTAAGGAAGCCCAATGTAGCATCGTGGTAGGAGCTTGAGATAAGCGATGAGACTGGCCCCAAATAAATAAAAGCTTTCATATGACACGTTAGGGAGTTGGAGTTTATTCAAGTGTGGTCGGGAGCCATCAAAGTGCAGAAAGCAGAGAGGTGATGTGATCAAATATCTATTTCAAAAGTGCGTTCTTTGTCTAAGACTGTAGCTCAGTAGGAAAGCATTTGCTTAGTTTGAGGCTCTGGATTTGCTCCCCAACACCACCACCAGAAGAAACATAAAGATGAGAGGTGCTTAAACATGCCTGTGGGTTCATACCCCTGGACTCATGGTGGGTTCGGTTCTGTTGCTGTGTCAGCATCCCTCCCAGAAACTGTTTAAAAGCATGAGCGTTTATTCCAGCTCACAGTTTCCAAGGGTTCGCCAGCAGGCTGCTGGGTCCATTGTTTTCAGGCCTGTGGTGAAGTAAAGCATTCTTGTAGAGAAACCATGAGGGATTAGAGCCACTCAGTTCTCAGCAACCATGGAAACAGAGGGGATGAGAAAAGAGCTGAAAGCAGGACACACCCTTCCAGGGAGTGTTCCCAGTGACCTACTTCCTCCACCAAGGCCCTACCATACATCCCAGTGATGCTATTAAATTTTGCATCGATCAGCATATTAAACCGCTGATAGAAAGCATTTTATACCCTAACTTGTAACATCTTACCAACAACTCTTCACTCTAGAATCTGTGATAAGAGTGGAAAAGGTTGTCTGTGTTCAGGGTTCAGAGTGCTTAGCCCATAAACTCACTGCCTCAGTTTCTCTGTATTCCAAAGAAATCAGCAAACAGAAATTGGAAAAGGAAAGTTAATTTATTTAATTTTGGCCAAAGCAGAAAGGAGAAAGACATCTAAATTCCTCTCTGCAGTGCCTGTGGCCATCTTACAGTGTTAGAAAGCCAAGAGACAAGACCAGAGTGTGTGTCAATGCATCTGTGAAACAGGTTAGCCCAGGTTACCGCCATTGTCTCTGCTGTGGTTTACAAGCTTTGATTCAAGTCCACAGACAGAAGTATTTTAAAGATCCCCTGGCTTTTGTTTTTTGTTTTTGTTCATTTTGTTTTGTTTTGTTTTGTTTTGTTTTAGAGAAAAGAATAGAGAAGAGGGGGTTAGAGCCCTTCACATTCCTGGCCTGGTAGAGTTCCTTGTCCTTGGGTCTATTTGATAGATGCAGAGTGAGAGCTCATTGTATGGATGTTGGCTTCAAACTTGACCCCTGCATACCTGTTAGACATTCTGATTTTGCTAGTGAAAAAGTGTGATGGTTGATAGCTAAAGGAGAGTTGAACAAGTACCTCTCTTTTAGGATATCCCCTCTTGCATTAAAGCATTGCATAAATACTTCATATAATATGTCAGAAGAACAATTAAAGCCATTTCAGACATAGTTAGAAAGTCTGTCCTAATCCCAAACAAACTTCATTTAATCAATATTTTATGAAACTCAATCAGCAACTTTTAAAGTCCAACATTTTAACTCAACAATCCAGAGACAGATTAATTTGTCACATGCTAAAGAATGACACCAAGACAAGGCTGTGTTTGTTTCTTTTCATTCTGTAATACAGTTGTTTTGGTTCTATAAGTGCAGAAAACTGTACGTATAATAAAAACACTGACATCCATAACACAGTCATTTCAGATCCTAGTTGTGTTCAGGCAGCCTTTGCTGGCACTAAGTGGCATAATGGCAACCACAATGCAAAGTGTCCAAGCTGTGGGTTTAGTACCAAGGCTACTTGGTGAAGGTGCATGACACAGCCCTACATTTAGTTACAGGGCTGAGGCCTGTGCATTAAAGCACTGGGATCTATCCCAGTGGCAGAGTGTGACAAGCTATGTAAACCTAGTTGTTAACCCAGAGGACTATACTTCTACATGTTTGCACTTGAGACTTCAAACAAAGTTGTACTGAGAATTAGTTTTCCTGTTAACTCAGCTTTAGAAAGCTTGGTGTAAGCCAAGCCAAGCTGGGCCTCCATTTCCTCATCTGTAGAAATACGAGTGTGGTACTGTGAGAACTTGTGCTTGGTTCTGAGCCCCTCTTCCTTTACTAGTTAACAGAAATCCCATGAGAGGTTAAGTGGCTTACTAATTAAGGCCATACACAGTTAACAGTAAACAGAACCAAGACTAGAATTTAACCACCAAACCCTCATTGGCAACTTTCTTCTCTTGTATCTATGTTCTAAAAGAAAAAAAAAAAAAGAATCAATCCCACTAAATAGAGGTGAAACATTTGGAGAGGTAAATGTATCAGTGGGTGCATAACAGCATGTAAAATAAAGCTATTATACTGTATCATAACCCTGCCTTATCTGATGCTGCTGTACCAGCTACAATGTACATTGGTTGAACATTCATATGATTTTCTCCCCATTCTTCACATTTTTAGACGTATCCATTCGGATGAGTTGTTTGTTTGCATGGCCCCTTTCTCTTTCCTCGAGCTGTTTGTATATTGTTTACTTCCTGGTAAATCTCCACATAACCAGTGGTATCATTTAAGTCACTCCATTTATCATTCCCTTCATATTTAAGCTTCATTGCATTCTAAATTGAAAATTACCCTCAAGAAGCTTCAGGCTTGGGAAGTAGGAGTCTCTAGATTCTGGTCCTCCCATCCCTCATCCTCGCTTTGCTCATCTTCCTCTCTTCATCCTCCTCTCCAAATCAGGGGTGCCCATGAAGAGGAAGCAGAATCACAAAACAACTGAGGTGTGTGTGTGGAAAGGAGGGAAGGAAGGGCAGCCATGTTCCTTGGCCTTGTTGATGGTGGGGGGCATCTATGGGCTGATTGCATTCCAGCCTTGGGGGCTTTCTGTTTAAAGACAAACCACAGCTCACAGAAACTCCTTCTCCCCTCCTACTGCCTCCATGAGTCACTACCATGTGGCGTGCTGCTGCTGAGCCAAGGAATGAGTGAGTAAAGGGGTTTACAGTAAAGTATTCGTCCTCGTTCAGTAAGTGTCAGAACATTGCGCTATGGGCTCCCTGCTAATTTAAGATTTAGAGGATAAAAAGAGAATCAGGTATACCAGTGGTAAGACCACAGGGGAAACACAGCATGGACAATATTGAATTGCTAATTTATCTTTTATTGTTTGTTTGTTTTATTCTTTCTCTCTCTGTGTGTCTCTGTCTCTCTGTCTCTCTCTCTCAGACACACACACATACACACAGCCATTCTGACTACTTTCTGTCACACTCTTTACAGTGTACTTCAGACAACATTTCTGAGGGTATCCCAGCATCCCGTTCACATGAGCAGACTCTGTTATAAACGACACTAAGTCCCACACAGGGCAGCACTGGCTTAACGGAGATTTGGCTTGATTTCTCGGTGGCTCCAGAGTAGGTGCAGATTGGTGAGAATTTATGATGAGAGCTCTATGTTTGGTTCTCTCATTAAGTCCAGTCATTTGACCATGGTTTAGAAACATACAAAAAAATTTGGTAAAATGCTAGCTTTCATTGGGATATGAAGTTGAAATAATACTTAGACCTTGTAGGGCATTTTTAAAATTTAAAACTTCCATTTAATTTGATTAATGTATTTGGAACGTACATGCTCATAAAGAGGTAGAGAAAGTTCTGTGAGAATTAATGTTCTCTGAGTTTGGCTTTGCTGCTTTTTGTTGCTTGTTGTGTGTGCCATTGGATGAGGGAGGTAGGATTTTCAGCAATCTGGACTAGACTTTGAATTTGAAATTGGCTGTGGATATATATTTTTTCTCAGTATATTTTAACTGAGTCTCATCAATTTTAGCGGGGAAGAAAAATCAAGATATGCTATTAGTTCTTGTGTTGTTGGGGTTACTTCTCCTGCACCCACCTTTCACTTCCTCTCGTCATTCTTTAATTCTTGTCCTAAATGTTTGATTTAAAGCTGACTGATACTAAACACACAGCCATAGTCAGGAAAAGCAGTTGCCTTAACATCTTTGTAATATTCTAATATGCACATAATGCTCGTTGAAAGATACTTGGTGCCTAAGCTTGCCAAGGCACCGTCCTGCAAAACTCTGATTATGAAGGAGGAAAAGGGGAGAGGCAAAGTGAGCTGCAGCGGAGGGGAGGCTGGAAAAGCAGTTCTCAAACAGGTTCAAAGAAAAGCTGTGTCCTTTTCTGTCATTGTGGCTCTTTGTTTTGTTCTCTGAATGATTGTGTAGGTATCTTTCATCTGTACATGATTCTGCAAGTGATTGTCTTATTTTGAATATCAGATGGATCTTCTTTGTATCATCTAATTATCTCCATCTGTGATATGGCAGCACTGGATTGATTTATAAAGCTCTGTGTTACATTAAACACCATTCCCTCGGTGTGCTTCAAATTCTAGAGGAAGTGTAAAGCACTCGGAGTTTAAGCTGGTGCCTCTAAAAGTGTGTACTCAGCCTTTTTCTCAAGGGCGCCATTAATAAAGTAAGATTTACTGAAAAAAAAATTGTACAAGATTTAGAGTGTTCAAATTCAGTTCAATTGAACCTCAATATAAAAATGGAAACGGTGACAAGACTAGAAAGAAAAGATGCAGTGCTGAAAGATGTGTGTGGAGCTTGAGCAGCAGCCGCGGTTAAGTCACCTGACGCTAATAAACAGCCTCTCTTTTCTTTTTGTGGGTTTTGTTGTTGATGATGAAAATTTTGTTTGTTTTGGTGTTTTTTTTCCAGTACCAGCATCTGAAAACTAACCTTGTTTATAAAGAAGATTTAAACTGTGGTAGATTAGCTCTTGATTTTCCATAGGAGTGAGTATGTTACTGGGCTAGACATCCATGTTCAATACGGACGTAGACATTCTTGTTCTGCCTTCATGGAGGAAGCTGATGGGACTCGGTGTGTGGATGCTGACCATGCTTTTCTCTTTCTGTTGATTTACTGTTTGTCTTTCTCTCCCTCTTCACAGCGGTTCCTGAATAAGGACAGGTCCCCGGATTCCAGACTAGGCTCCCAGTCCATGGCCCCGTAAGTGCTTCTCCTTTCGGATAATGTCCAGTGAGAAACAGCAGTGGGTTTTGCTGCTGCTGCTGTTACTGTTGTCGACGTGGTCATCATGAGGATCATCTGTCCATGTCCCTTTTTCATGGCACGATGATCACACTACAAGTTAAATTTCAAATAGCAGACTCTTAAAAGACTTTAAGAATGGCCAGGCGGTGGTGGCACACGCCTTTAATCCCAGCACTCAGGAGGCAGAGGAAGGCGGATCTCTGTGAGTTTGAGACCAGCCTGGCCTACAAGAGCTAGTTCCAGGACAGACTCCAAAGCTACAGAGAAACCGTGTCTCAAAAAAAAAAAAAAATACTTTAAGAAAGTGTTAGATGCCAGAGAAATAATGTTGTATAAAATGGCAACACACTAAACAGCAGAAGGCTCATTTTTATTTTTCGTTTACTTTGTTTGAGCGATGTTTTGAAATAATATTAACTGAATACAAGTGAATGGTTAGGTAAAACTAAATTATGAACTATCTCCTCTGAAACTTTAAAGGGAAACATCCAGTTCCCAGGATGTTGTCAGGGTGAATGTGCTCTGTGTCACAGCAAAGCCTGTGGACAGTGTCCATGAACAGCACAGCGTCCACTGGCACCTCCCGTGTCCTAAACGCATGTGACACAGATCATCCCTGCTGGGTTCCTTAGACACGTATCATCTTAGGTTAAAGATGTCCCACATACTCTCAAAATTTGAAGAATAATGTGTGTCCTGATTGAAATGACAGAAATTGCCAAATAAGCCATGCAGCATGCTACAAGACGTTCTGCTGTGCAGATGAGAGATGTGGCATTAAGTGGACTTTAAAAGAGCCATGGAGTTATAATCTAGAAGATACCTTACAATTCTTTCCACATCCCCTTTGATCTAAGAGCTGACAAATTCAAGAGGGAAAGCTAGGTGCTAATGTCATAGGGCATCGCTGTCACTACTAAACTAAGACTTCAGCATCCAACCCTTGTTGCTGGGCTTGTCTCTTTCTCAGCTGGGTTCTCTGCCACAGGTTCTGTGGGAAGATATTGTTACTGGCAATCACTGGGGTCTCTTAGTGATTGCCAAGTGATACAGGAGAAATGAGGGTCTCTTCTTGGGGTCCTCAGTCTCATAAATAAAAGAATTTAAGAATGGATTCGACCCAAAGTCAAGGACAAGTGTTGTAGTTTGAAAGAAAGCCCCAGGGCAGCCCACTGATCTCAGCAGCTATGAGGAGGGTACAGGGAAGGGAGGGAGGGGGGGCGGGAGGTAGGAGGGATGGAGGGAGGGAGGGAGGGAAGGAAGGAGGGAGGGAGGGAGGAAGGAAAGCAAGCAGGCAAACCATCCATTTAAGCTGGCATGGGGTTTAGTAAACACCACAGACAAACAGCCATGGTGGGGAGAAAGACTTTAGAGAAAGAACAAGGAAGCCTGGAGTGTTAGGGAAAGTGTGCTTCAAAAATAGATAAAAAGAAAAGGATCCTATTCTCATCAGAAGTATTTATTTTTTCTCAGCAGTTTTTTATCGCTGCCCAAACGTGTCACTTTGCTGTTTATATTTAAGAAATGAATGCTAATGATAGGTGTGTGTGTGCGTGTGTGTGTGTGTGTGTGTGTGTGTGTGTGTGTGTGTGCATGCATGTGAGACGTAAGCACATTTGCCCACATCATCACATTTGATCCTCACAGTGTCCCCAAGAATAAGTATCTAGTTTCTTCCTGCCAGTGGAGGAAAGAAACCTAGAAGGCAGCAGTTTGAAGTTCCAGTTTACTCTTCTTCCCACGCCTCCCTGCCCTTAGTTTTTGGTACCTACACACATCCTTTAGTTTCTGTCTGACAAACATTTTTTCAGTTCACTGCAATCTTACGAAATAATGTAGTTAATAATAAAATCACAGATGCCTAGGAATTTACATCTTAAAAAACTAGAATTGCTTATTAAACATAGATTAAACAGGACCTTCCATATATACCACATTGGATGGCTTTTCAGGTGATGTCTAGACCCACTCTGCGTCCTCAGATAAGTGCAGGAAGTGTCCCAGACACTTGGGTTCCAAACATTGTCAGGGTAGCTAGCTCTACTTCTGTTGAATGTAGAGCACTCAAGAACCTTATGCAAATCAAAAAGGAAGAGAAAATTATAAGAAGTTCAAATGTGTCCGAGTGCTCGTTTAGCTAAACCCTTTGGGAATTATCTGTACTCAAGGTTTCTTAGGTCAGCGAAGATATACTTTCTTGTGACGTGAAAACTGTGGACTAGCTAGTTGTCCAGTATGTACAGAGAAAGTTGCTGCATTCACTCTCTAATTTACAGTGCTAGATGCATGTAGGTGTTTTCTCATGTTTGCATTAATGTGTGTGCATGTACATGCATGGTTGTGTGTTGCGCATATGTGTGTGTCTAGGTCATAAGTCAGTGTCTGGTATGCTCAGTCACTCTCCACTATTTAAGGATTCAGGGTCTTTGCTGAACCCAGAGCTTGCTCATTTCAGCTTCTCTAGATAGCCATCTTGCCTCAAGGATCCGTTGTTTATGCCTCCCAAGCTGGGGGTATACAGGCAGGCTGCATGCCTATCCAGATTTTATGTGGATGCTGAGATCAAAACTCCAGGCCACTCACTTTCACAGCAAGCTCTTTGTCCACTGAACCATCTCTCATCCTCTCTCTTCTTTTTCTACCCTCTTTTCTTTCTGAGAAATTATCACTTGTATTATCAATTTATATAGATTTCACCAAATCTAAACTCTTTTTAGAATATAAGAAAAACTTTTAATTTAGCTATGTCATTTTCTTGAAAATTAAACTTCCCTTTGTATTTCATGCCCTATGATGTTTTTATTTATTACCTAATGCCCTGGTCAAGTTTATAATGACATTTCTGTAAACACATTGTAATAAGTAATATGTACTGTTTGTGTTCTCTATTCCCTATGTCCTATATTGATTTTTCTTAGGATATAGTTTTTCAGATTCTCAATGTTAGTTGGGTTTGTTTCATTAAAAGCTTTGGTCAAAGAGATTGCCTCAGATAGCCAACATATTGAATTCCTTTGTTAGGTACTCAGAAACTGAATGAGTCGATGAAATGAAATAGAATTCAGTGGTCACTCTCATCCCTGCATGGCGCACCCTGTTCCCGGCTCCTCATCTTTCCTTTTCTCCTTGAGGATCTCCTAAAATTGTCTGTGTCTGAGAACTTTCCTCTAGGTTGTTGTTCTGATTGCCCAGTTCTTAAGCTTTTTCTTACTCCTCTATGTCATTTCTTAAATCAAAACCTTCTGCTGTCCTGTGTGAGTATCTCAGTGTACTTAGCACTGAGCATGGTGAAATGAGAAAGTATACAGATGACATGAGGAAACAGAATTAAGTGTTTGGAAGACAACAGATTATGTAATTAGGTACAAGATGAGGTGGCACAAATGGTCACTGTGAGAGGGAAGAGTGTAGAGAGCTAGAAGACTTCCAGGAGGAAGCAGGCTCTGGTTGGACTTCCAGAACTGAGCCTTCGAAGCGGTCACACTGACACAGGAATGAGGCACGTGAAGCTATCAAGGACGGATTGGGAGAGGACTAATTAGTGGTGGGATCGGAGACCTGTAGCAGGGAAAAGGACTGGAGTTCTTATTCCTGGAGAATGGGATTGGGGAGTTGGGAGCAGCAGAGGCTTGGAAGGTGGAATTGGGAGCCACAGCTCTCTGTTTACCTGGTGTTTTACATGAGCCTGAATAAGCATTTGTCTGTATCAGGGCTTAGTCCTGTTCTGACCTGACTGCGAAGGCAGGCGTTCCAGGTGAGAGTTGGCAGCCACTGCGAGCATCAGCCTGATGGAGAAAATGCTGACCGGGAGTTTCCTGCCGTAGCTGCTGAGCTAGACAGTGATGTGCACTAGTAATGACACATGATATGTGCCTATGAGTGTGTCCAGTGTGCCAAGGAACACTCACGCTATGCACATCATTTTCTAAATGTAAGTTTGTCAGGCACCTAACATGCCATCAAAATGTTCTAGGTACTGGAGACATGAGTAAACCTATCAAAATCCTCATCTTAGAGAGCTGGCATTTTACTTACATGTGTAAACATTTGTGTTAGAATATGCTATACTGTGGAGAAAAGTTAAGTATGGGGAGGAGATAGAAATGGGAGGTGTAATTGTTGCAGTTTTGAGTTTTGTTTGTTCTGTTAATATTTTTGTTTGCAAGTCTTGTTCAGAATCCTAGAGTGACCTTGAACTCATAGGTGATCCTCCTGATCTTATCCACCCAAGAACTGGAATTCTAGATGTGAGCCACTACAGTGGGTCTGTTGTAGTTTTAAGTTGAATTGTGAGAAAAGGAATTGAGTAATGTGTGTACAAGGGGACAAGTGCGGAAGGCCATGAGGCAGGAGTGTAGGAGCGAGCATACTCGGTATCCTAAAGAAACAGTGGGGAAATTGCCAGCATGCTGGAATGGATAAAGCAGTTGAGAGAACTCGAAAAGACGAGGGTAAGCAGTGGTCAGACCATGTAACGTGGGTGTCACTAAATAGAGGGAACAGCACATTTCAACATCACTCTGACATGTGAGGTAAGAATGGATACACATTAATAGGTGAGGGTGAAGGCAGAGAGACTAGTTAAGATCATATTAAAAGTATCAGAAGAGATTCGGCCATACCTAGAGGAAGTACGGTAGCAAGGGGGTTAGTGAAAGGGTCAGAACTGGGGCTGGGTCGTCCCTCAGTCACCTAAGTCCTTACCTAAAAAGCATGAGTTTCATGCCCAGAACACATGTTAAAAAATGATAGACATGGGAACCCATTTCTGTAATCCCAACGCCGGTGAGGTGGAGAGAGAAAATCCTTGGGGCTTGCTGGCCAGCCAGTCCAGCCTGATTAGTGCGCACCAGGTCAATGAAAGACTGTCTCAAGGAAGACAGACAGTGTTCCTGAGGATGATACCTGCCCTGCTTAGGGTTACTGTTGCTGTGATGAAACACCATGCCCAAAACCATGATGCCCAAAAATGAAAGGGTATATATTTGGCTTACACTTCCACAGCGCTGTTCATCATCAAAGGAAGCCAGGATAGGAACTCAAACAACGTAGGAACCTGGAGGCTGGAACTGATGCGCAGGCCTCAGAGGGGTGCTGCTTACGGGGCTTGCTCATCATGGCTTGTTCAATCTGCTTTCCTGTTGAAGTCAAAACCAGCAGCCCAGGGATGGCACCACACACAACGGGGTGGGTTCCCCATCAATCACTAATTAAGAAAATACTCTACAGGCTGTGTACAGCCCCATCTTATGGAGGCATTTTCTTAATTAAGGCTCCCTCCACCAGATGATGTTAGCTTATATCAGTTGACATTAAACTATCCAGCACACCGCCAAGGTTGTCCTTGGCTTTCATATGCACACACAAGTGCTTGCACACCAACATACACATCAACAAGTAATCAACATTGCACACATCCATACAAGCATTCACACATATGCATACATGTATTTTTATAGGTCTGGTTTTATATATACAGATGTATTTGTGACAGTTTTACTGAAATATACTTGGTATATAATAAATGACGTACATTTCAGATTTTAAGAAAGAGACACTCATGAGCCATCACCACAAAGAATTCCTCAATCTTTTCACGTTCTTTCATTTCTTCCTTTCTGTAACTACCATCCCTTGACAACCAGTGATCCTCTCTCTCCTTCCAGAGTTTCAAAGACCACAATTTGTTTATTCATTACCTGTTTATATGTCTTTGAGTTGTCTCGTTTGGAGCCACTACAAATATCAGTATTTGTGTAAATCATCACATAGATATTTGCATTCGTGTTTATTGGGTAAATAACTAGAATTGGGTGACTAGAGTTGTTTTAATACATTTTCTGTGTCATCTCATGTTTACCTACTCGCAAGAGAGTTGTGCTTCCTCCCCAGGACAAGACACAGTCAGGCTGTAATCCCAGCCCTTCCAATTCGAGAGGGGCCTCATGTGCTTTGACTTTGTGGATCCTTATCCCTAATGGCCTATGATGTCAAGGACGAGTGTGTGTGTGTGTGTGTGTGTGTGTCCCCATATATATTTATGATCTCTTTGGTGAAATGAGTATCTATTTGAATAGTGCTTTACCTTTTTAATACTTGAAAGACTTCTGTTAATTTTTTTTCTACATGTATTTCTTTATTTTTGGAGGAGGGCCCTGTATACCATGGTGTGTGTGGCGTTCAGAGGATAACTTGAAGGAGTCAGTTCTTTCCTTCTTCATATGGATTCTGGGAATCAAACTCTGGTTGTCAGGCTTGGTGGCACGTGCATTACCTGCTGAGCCATCCCTCCAGACCTAGTATTACTAAGCTTCAGGAGTACACCACATCTTCTGAATACGGCCTCTCTTCCTGACTCTACTGCGCTGCCTCTCACTATAGCCTCACAGAGCCTCTGCCTGCACACATGTGGAGACAGTGTGTGCATGATCACACAAGCAAACACATCATTTTAAGACACTGCTATTGTCCTAACTGGATAAACCATATTGAGCTTACTCACGCTCCCTGTCTCCAGACACAGTCACATTGAAAGCTAGACCTTGAACTTGAGTTATGTATATACATGCAGTTTTGTGTACAAATACTTTATCATTCCCGGTAATCCCTTGATTTTTAAATTCTTGTATCTTTTTAAAGCTGTTTAGGATATTCCCACCTTTACCATGGTGTATGTTTTGCTATTACCATTGAGATTTTCACGGTCTTCTACAGTTGGGTGTTCTAAACTTTAGTAGGAGCTTCTCCCACTTCTTCCCTTGCCTCTAAGAAATACCCTGTGACAGTAAAGGGTTGTTTTTCCATCTACATTGATAACATTTTCTGGTTTTCCCTTGGCATCTAAACAGAATTTGCTCAATTCTTGTCCCTTTCATGTCTGAGATGGAGCATTGCGTCTCACCCCTTTGGAGAGTGGCACTTGTAGTTTTCCCAGTGGTTTTTCTCAGGCCCCCGACTTATCATCCCTGTCCATCCCTCTGTCCCTTCCCTAGATCCAGGCCTTATCTAACCCACTACAGCAGCTGTCATGCTGGCTCCTCATTTCTAATCTTTCCTTCCTGTAGGACGGAGAAGAGCAAAGAGCAAAACTGGGAGGACCGTGGACACAGAGCAGATATGCAGGCAAAGAGAAGCGAGCCGCCGGCCCGGAAAGTCACCCTGATAGAGGTAAGAGAGAATCAGCAGAGTCAGGAGTGAGAGAAGATCAGGAGGAAGTCATTTCATTACCAGGGAAAGACCAGGTGTCCTAGTGAGCAGTGGCAGATGCCAGGGAGCACCACTAATGTGATGAGCTTTGACAAGGGCATTGGCATTTGCGGCCAAGAGGCTGTTAGCAGTCTTGGAGGAATGGTTGATGGTGTGCTAGAAGCATAACTTAGACTGTCTTTCTTTATTTCCAAAATTCTGTGCTGGAAGTGCAGAAACAAATTGTTCAGCAATCAGTAGAAAACCCAGGCTGTAGAGGTCTTTATACAGGGGATAACAAGAATCTCTGCAGAGAGGTGAGAGCCACGTGGAAGCCCTTCCACGTGTAAGGAGGCCTGGGGCCCGATTTGTGTTTTCCACTGCCAGGTGGAACATGTTTGCCTCTGAGACAGGCCCTTGGGGAATGGTGGTGGGAGGGTGAGCCCCAGCAATGGGAGGAAGCCTCTCGGGAGACCTTGTCTTCTCTACAGGCAGAATTAGTTTGTCTGTTGAAATTAAGTTTATTTAGCTACACCCACAAGCATACATTTGTTACTTTCTAGAATTAGATTCAGAGTTCCATAACTCTTTAACTTGAAAAAAATAAGTAAATTTACTTGTACAGAAAGCCTAGATGAGTAGTTAATCCTGGGAATGGCTTTTTATATAAGCATGATGTTGGAATTAGAAAACGTTTTTGGTTTTGCTCAGGGTTTTGATTGGTTGTATTGTGGTGGTGGTGGTGGTGGTTTTGTGTTTTGTGTTGTTGTTGTTGTTGTGGTGGTGGTGGTGGTGGTGGTTGTGAAGGGGAAGGACAGTTCTGTTTCCTAGACTGGACTCAGACTCTTGGACACAAACAGTTCTTCTGCCTTAGCTTCTTAGTTCTTCTACCTGAGCGTGTAGCCACCTACTCCTATATTCAGCTATGAGTCATTCTGAAATGGATATTTGGGTTTATGTAATGGAAATTTTATAATCATGCATGTCAGAAGTGAAAAAAGTGGTGCCCACTTACTGTTTTTGCAGAGGACCCAGGTCCGGGTTCCAGCACCCATACCACAGCTTACAACTATCTCCAACTCCAGTTCCATGTTATCCTATGCCCTATCCTTGTCCTCCTTGAGTATTACATGGTGTACATACATACATACATGCACACATACTATATACATACATACATACATACATACATAACATACAGGCAAAACACTCATACCCATAAAATAAAAATAAATCTTTGGCCCCATAAAGTTTTTCAATAATAGCTGGACTGGAGAAAAACTTTATCTAAAGGATTTGCTCCAAGAAATCATCAAAAAGAGAAATGTATCACTAAGGAAACTAGTGGAGAATGTATAGGGAATTTTACTAAAAGAATAAATATATTAGGCCACAAATGTTTACTTTAGCACTAATCCGTTTATGAAATGAAAAGTGTAACAACAAAATTAGGTAATATTTTCATCACAAAATGACACCAAGTTTCAAAATTTAGGAACTATAATTTGTATGACAATACAAGGAAGTAGGTTATCCTCTTAAATGTATGCCCCTGTGCATAATCCATTTGTTCTTCATGGATGAGAGTTTGGTGGTAAGGTTTTTATTTCCATAAAAGGAGGCATGTGAGGCTGTATTGTCCACAGAATTCTTAGCCAGATGCGATGGAGTGTCTGTTGTCCTAGTGACTCGTGTTCTAAGGTAGAAGACTCACTTGAGCCCAAGAATTGAAAACCATTCTGGGCAAATTAGTCAAACCACATCTCAAAGTACAAATGTCCTTTGACTTGACGGTAGGAAAGCCTTTGAAGACAATGGAGAGATTCAATTGAGATTATGCTTCGAAGTAGATGTTTAAGAAAGAAGAAAAGTCAATCTCTATGATAAAGCATGGATTGAGATATCTCTGACTCAGTTTGCTGGTACAGTAGATTTGGCTGTTACTGGGGAGGCTGGTGGTCTGAGTCCACCTGGGGACAGAGACAATGGGAATTCTTTGTAATGACTGTAAAGTTGTTCCAATGGATTCTACTCTTCGAAATGGAATTTATTAAATTATGAAATGTTTATATAATAGATTTTCAGGTCCTCATTCATATGACAAAATTGTTTTTATGTGAATAGAAAGAAATGATGGATAAATTTAGAAGGCAGCAATACCAACAAATGTTATCTAGGTGTTGAAGTTGTAGTGATTTTCATTTTCATCCATGTATTTTCTGATTTTTTTCTACTCAACTTTTTTATACTACTTTAAGATTCCTTTCAAAAGGAAGAGAATTTCAGAAATTTCTAATATGATCTGTTCTTTCTACACAAGAGCTCAAGGCCCAAGGTCTCATAGTAGAGCTCCTTAAGTAAGCTGTGCTTTTCTGCTGCAGCTTGAGGGCTGTTTGCAGTGCAGGTTCTCTGCCTCCATGGTATTTTTGCTCCCCTGTACTTAGTTAGCCTGGGGCTCAGCACAGAAGCAAACCTGGGGAATGTGTATGGACCAGGTTCAGTTTCCTATGGCGTTAGCCCAGCCTGCTACTGAATCTCACTGTTTTACACAATCATTAGCCTAGTTTCATAGTCGTTTTCATAATCTTGCTGTACAGATTCTTCTTCTCCTTTGTCTGAAGTGGCTTTTTGAAGTCTTCAGTTTGTCTCTCTTTTCCTGTGTTCACTGTGGGCATGCTCTGTATAAAGATGCCTCTGACTGGGCTCAGACTCAGGCTTGTGTTTGTGAATTAGATGGGACCTCTTCCCTGCCTTCGGCAAAGTGGGACTGTGTCTCTGCTTTGACATCCCTGCCCTGTCTGCCAGCAGCCGTGGTGCACTGTCTTTTCTATCCCTTTCGTCCTGACGCTGCCTCCTGCTCCCGCTCCTGCTCCCGGGCAGTCTGCGGATCTTGCAGGGTTTCTTCCCCTTGGTACTCTGAACCATTTCCCTTCAGACATTCTCCAGTGCTGCTGCTTCAGCTTTTTCTAAACTTCGCTCAGGTTTCCTCTCTGGGGTTTCTCCTGTTTACTTCTCACAGTGCAGGCTCTCCCCCACCACCACCACCACCACACACACTCCTTCAACTTGCCCTACATCTCCTGCACCTGCAGAAGAAGCCGTCCCACTGATTTCCAGCTGTGTGTCCCCCTTTGTCAACCGTTCCCTTTCTGTCCTCCTGTTTGTCCTGCCATCACCATGAGCCCCTCCTCTTTTGTCTGTTGTGTTGTCTTATCCCCCTAAAACCTTTTTTCTCCGCGATGCACTTTGCAGGTTTAAAGTCTCTGTGTGACTTGTACCCTACTCTGCTTTACTCTTTTCCATTTTTATCAGTCTCTAATTGGAGAAAGTTTTGCATTCTCTTTGTTTTATATGTGGTAAGAGAAATGACTGTTCTGACCCTTGCTGTTACTATATATCCTAGCATGTTGTAGCAGCCTTCACGAGCTTCACTTGACTCTGTTGCTGAGCTTCTCTATGTAATTAGAAGAATTACCAAAGAATTACCAAAGTTAAAGTCAGGAAACCTGAACCCATAGCAGAATTTTTCCAAACCTTTGTGAGTAAATTTTTCTTATGTGGAAAAAGAATAATGTAACCACGCACTTAAGATAAAGCCTGTTTTGAAAAACACAAGTGTTTGCCTTCCTCCTGGCTCCCAGGAGAGCCAGTGGGGAACCACCAGTCTGCCCTTGCCTGCCACAGTGTGTCAACGATTGCTTTTCTCAGAGGTGGTCTGCAGAGCTGACCTTACCTATTGTCGTCACTCCAAGACTGACAGTCCAGTGTTACAGCCTCTTTGGTTAGCAGAAAGTCAGACATGCTTGATCCAGACAGTCCCGTGCTCCATGGGTGGTGACACCCAGCAGCCAGGACGAACCTCAGTGCTCATCACTAGCTGACGGGCCACTGTGGTCTCTAAGAAGGAAACATCTGTATCTCAACTCTTGGTGATTAGTAATGATTTAATTTGTTTTATCCACAAATTGTATCTAGATCCATGGTTAGCCATCACTATCATGGTCAATCAAAAATGAAGTACACATTTTCACATTTGGTTCATATAGTCTGGAAAATATAATAATGTGCCCAGTTTGAAAAGTAGACACACCAGAGGGGTAAATGAAAGAATCCTGATGAAAGTAGATTGTCTCTTTCTCGTTATGAAATTGAAGTGTCCTCCACAAGAATCTTTGCCCATGAAAGGAAGAACTTCACCGGCTCTGAGTGCCTCCTCCTAGAATCCCGCTCACTTCATCCTGCCTCATCTTCTCTGGAGACGCTTATCTTTTTGCTCAGGGTAGCTGTCAGTGTAGGGCAGTCAGTCCAGTTGCTAATGATCACAGAAATGTGAGGAGCACGCCTGGGGCAAACTGGTATAGCTAAATTAACCTAATGCTTCTGTTTAGTGTGTGGGCGGGGATGGGCTTCTTATGTGCATTGTTACGAAGGTTATAACAGGAAGACTTTGCTCATTATCTTTGTATACTTTTCTTCCTAGTAAAAAGTTGGAAAGGAATGAAGAAACAACCAGATGAATTGAAATGAAATAAAAAGCTAAGCCAGATGGGTTTCTCTTTAGATTTTGGAAGAAAAGAAGTATCTACTGTTTATTGACCTTGTGAAAAATATAAAATAAGGCTTGGCTGTAAAAAAAAAAAAAAAAAGTTGATGTGGCCTCTGGGCTTAATTGTTATAAACCATTGTGAGTGTTATTGGTCAAAGTATTGTATCTGTGCTGTTAGTAACTGCATCAAAATTATATTGCTGCTGTTGGAAAAACCAATAAAGAAATCCCAGAACTGCCACTCAGCAAACGTGAATAAAAGTGTGTGCATTGTTCACGCATTCCCTAAGTTGTCATCCAGTGCTGCTGTATGTGACGTGGCTGTCG